GTTTAAGGAAGAAGTCCAAGCTGCACCGAAGGGACAATTAAAAAAAAAAAAAAAAGCTCTTGGAATTGATTTTGTAGTATTATTGACAGTTGCTGTTGTATTTTCTTTTGATTTTAAAATAAAAAAAATTCATATTCTTCTAGATCTGATTTAGACTTGTCTATTCATGCGAAGGAGTTCTGGTAGGGTAGTGCCTAAGACATTTGACTGTTAACGAGAGGTTGGTGGTTCAAATACACTAGTCACTCCATGGAAGGAAGATGGGGCAATCTACTTCTGTAAAGATTTACTATCTCAGAAACCAAAAGGGCAGTCACTGTGAATTGGAATTCACTTGATGGTAGTGAGTTTGGTTATTTGGTTTTTGGAGTCATGTCAAATCTTACTTTTTTTTCCTCTTTTTCCCACTCTGCAGGATGATGAAGTGGTTCTGCAGTGTACTGCAACCATCCACAAAGAGCAACAGAAACTCTGTCTGGCAGCAGAAGGATTTGGCAACAGACTTTGTTTCTTGGAGTCCACTTCCAATTCCAAGGTTGGATAAATTCTTTTGAGGCTATTCAAATATTTGAGTTTTACTCATGGCATTAAAGTTACTACTTTACTGTGAAACATGTCATATATAATCTAAAGGGGATTTGATATATTATTTTCACTCATTCATTAACTAATTTTAATTGAGCCCTTGCTCTCTGCAAAAAAGTGAGATACAAGAAAAGACAATGTCTTTGCACTTAGGATGTTATAGTATTTATATTCTAGTAGAAAAATAAACAAGTAAATGAATAATGTAATTTGTGAACTGACAAGGTCTATGCAGAAAATCAGAAAAATAGTGTACAGAGTGATAAAGAGAAGACTGACAATTTTATGAAGGGGGTTTAGGGAATTATATTGCCTTTCTCAGGCAATGATGTTTGAGCACATCTGGGGGAAGTTAAGGCAATGAGTGATATTAAGTTCTTAAGCATTCTAGATAGAGTCACGTAGAAATGCAGGGCCTTTTGGTTAGGAATGAGCTTGTAGAGTGTTTCAGGAACAAGAAGAAGAGTACTCTAACTATTGAATGCAAAGACTAGTGGTCTCATATGGACCACATCATGTAGGGTCTTATAGGCCGTGATTAGAAGTTGTTTTCTTCCTACTGTGAAGGGAAGGTCACTGGAGGTGAGTAATATGATTTAATTGGTTTGTTCTTGTTATGCGCCGTTGAGTCAGACCCTACTCATAGCGACCCCTCTTTGAGGTTCCAGGGCAGTATCACTACGGAAGTAGATTGCCCAACCTTCCTTCCAAGGATTTAATTTATGTATTTATTTATATATTTTAAAAATTAAACCAGTTGCCATCCTCAAGTTTGACTCAGGGCAACCCCATGTGTCTCAGAGTAGAACTATGCTCTATAGTGTTTTCAGTTGCTGAATTTTTAGTAATAGATCACCAGGCCTTTCTTCTTAGGGTTTCTCAAACTAAAAAAAAAAAAAAAAAAAAAAAAAAAACCCTCACTGTCCTCGAGTTGATCCTGACTCATAGCGACCCTTCCTTGGGTTTCCGAGGTGGTGTCTCTATGGAAGTAGATTGCCCAGTCTTCCTTCTGAGGAGTAGCTGGTGCTTAGCAGTCAAATACCTTAGGCTCTACATCAGCAGATCTCCTATAACAACCGAGGGTGCGTTACAATTTGCACCAGACAGAGATTCTGTTTAAAAGATAGCTTTGATTTTTAAATTGCTTATATGTATGTAGGATGAGCAAGAATAGCAGCAGGGAGACTAGATGGAAGGCAGATGCAAAAATCCCAGTGAGAACTAATTAATGATCTTTGCACAAGAGGAGAAGCAATAGTGGTGGTGCGATGTGGATGGATTTGGTGTATCCTTTGAGGATAGATCTGACTGTGTAGAATATGAAATGAGGATGTCTCTGTCAACTAGACAATTAGAAAACAGTCAATTTAATACTATTTTGTATAACAATTTTTGGTTTATAGGGTACTTTGACAGGCACTCTGTCATTTAATTTCACAATGAGAGTATGATGAGTTATTGTTATCATATTCATTTTACAAATTAAAAAGTTGAAAACTAATAGAGGCTAAGTACCAAACCAAAACCAAACTCACTGCTGTCAAGTCAGATCCAACTCATAGCGACCCCTCCTTAGGTTTCCAAAGCAGTATCACTACGGAAGTAGATTGCCCAATCTTCTTTCTGAGAAGTGGCTGGTAGGTTTGAAATTCCAGCCTTCTGGTTAGCAGTCAAATGCCTTAGGCACTTTGCCAACAGAGCTCCCAGAGGCTAACTGCCATACCTAAAATACTTATTCTGACTTATTTAATTTATATATTTGAAGGAATAGTGTTAGGAAGGCTTTTACCTCTTTTTAGCTTCAAAGTTTGCTTTTTTTTCTTCAAACTGTAGTACCTCTTTGGTTTTTCTGTAAAATAATAACGCATAATGTGTTTTAATGTGTATACATATAAATTTATTTATTTATATTAATGTAATACCAGGTAGCAGTATTAATATTGTAGTAGTTTATGACAAAATAATATGCATTTTATAAGTCCTACTTAGATTCATTTTCAATTTGACAAGTGGTTATTGAGCATTCTCTGTGTACAAATCACTGTGATAGGTGCCATTTGTGAAAAAGATTTCTTTTTTAAAAACAAGCCATTGAACATTCTAACATCTGGTCTTTTCCTTGTGATTTCTGATACTCTGTAATTGCTAGAACCATGCAGTCCACTTAGTTAGCTATGGTTTTTTATTTTCCACTTTGTATAAAACATTGTAGGAGCCCTGATGATGCAGCAGCTAAGCACTTGGCTACTAGCTGAAACACTGGCAGTTTGAATCCACCTAGTGGCACCTAGGAGCAGTCAGCCACAGGGGTCCAGGTGAGAAGAGAGAACCCAGGCACACCCAAAGCAGCAGGATAATAGAGCTGGAGAAAGGGAATTAAAAGCCAGGAACCTGGACAGAGGAGCAGTCAGCCGCAGGGATCCAGGTGAGGAGAGGGAACTCAGGCAAGCCCAAAGCAGCAGGGCAGGAGAGCAGGAGAAAGGGGGTTAAGAGCCAGGAACCCGGACAGAGGAGCAGTCAGCCACAGGGATCCAAGTGAGTAGAGAGAACTCAGGCACGCCAAAAGCAGCAGGGTGGGAGAGCAGAAGAAAGGGGATTAAAAGCCAGGAACCTCGACAGAGGAGCAGTCAGCTACAAGGATCCAGGTGAGGAGAGGGAACTCAGGCACACCCAAAGCAGCAGGGCGGGAGAGTGGAGAGTAAGGGGATTAAAAGACTCAGTAATCCAGACAGAGGAGGAGTCAGCCACAAGGACCCAGGTAAGGGTGGTACAAAAGGTTTCCAACAGGGAGACAAACTTGTCTGTCAGTTTGTCCTACCGTGGTGACATGTTGATGTAAGTTTTGAGGCTGAGCCACTGGTGTTTCAAACCCAGCGGGTTGCCCATGGTTCACAGGTATCAGCTCAGCTTACAGACTGAGACAGACTAAGAAGAAGGAAAAGGTTGTCCACTTCTCAAAGAATTGGCCAGGGAAAACCTTATGAATAGCAAAGAAACACTGTTTGATACATTACCGCACAACTTCATGAATAGTCCGATTAGGTTAGAAGGCTCTCAAAATAGGACTGGGAAATAGCTACATCATCTGAGTAAACCTTAGTCCTGTGGATAAGGTAAAGCTTTCGAGACCTCCACTTGCTGATGTGGCACCACTCAAACTGAAGAGAAACAGCTGCAGGTATCCATTAATCATTGGAACATGGAATGTACGAAGTATGAACCTAGGAAAATTGGAAGTTGCCAAAAATGAAATGGAATGCATAAAGATTGATATCCTCGGCATTAGTGAGCTGAAATGGACTGATTTGGGCCATTTTGAATCAGACAAGCATGTGATCTACTATGCCGGGAATGACAGTGTGAAGAGGAATGGTGTGGCATTCATCATCACAAAGGATGTTTCAAGATCTGTCCTGAAGTACAGTGCTGTCAGTAATAGGATAATATCCATACACCTACAAGGAAGACACATTGATACTACTATTATTCAAATTTATGCACCAACCACCAAAGCCAAAGATGAGGAAATTGAAGATTTTTATCAACTTCTCC